TTTAGGACCCACTTACGTTTCGCTTCAAAATCCTTTTGCCCCTTTGGTTTAAGAAGGAATACAAGTGGCAAAATACTGTATGTCACCACAAGCCTCTGGCTTCTAAAACAAAAAGAGGGTAACATTGCAAAAAGATGAGTTGCACATTCTAGATCTTAAATGTAACAATCAACTTTGTACAACTGTGACAGTGACATTATGGCATTAAAACAGACTCAGGCAATAAATAAAATTGATGTGTATTTAATAACCACATGACTGATTCTTCCTTTACTTGGGTTTTACACAAGGGTAATCAAGGCTAATTTCTATTGGCTTAAATAAGAGAATAGGGTCCCACAGAGCTACATCGCTGTAAGATACTCATGTAAATGAGAACAAGTTTTAAGCTCTGCAAGAATCTAAATCTCTATCCACTCCACCCCGTGAGCCTCTCTGGAGCGACAGGGGATTAGCTACATTCATTTTAAATTAACGTCATTTATCTCAAGTATTTAACCAGGAAATCCCACTGAGATGAGCCTCATTTTCTGGCAGATGCTTTGCAGTATACCTTGTAATATTCTTTTGTTTATTTGCTTTGAGCAGGACCTGGTCTTTGCCTTTTTAACCTATCACACTGGGGTTTTGGGGAAAAAAAAAAAATGCTAAGCCTTATCCACATGCCAAATAGATTCTTCAATATGCTTCAAAGGAACACAAGAAGTTACTTCGAATCAAAAATATCAATTCTTTTGGGGAAAATTCCCAGGTCAAATGCTGTGTGAACACCACAACTGCTGGGGCCGCACTAAAGGCCAGTTACACGCTGGCAGGAGTTTTTGTCCAAGTGCAGATCAATACATAGAGTGCACGAAAGGCAACACCGACAGCAATAACGAGTGCTAGATTTGAACACACCTCAACCCTACCTGTCTTCCTTTGGGTCAGAATTTAACTCCCGACTTTATGTACTATTGTACCAAGCATCTCTTTGAATGCTGTGGGATTGTATCTATGTGGTCACTCTGCTTACGTACACTTTGCCTGCACAATCGCAAACTCCCAGGCTTTGGGGGGGGGGTATGATGCAGCCCCTCTTCTGCTGTTCTCCTTTGCTGAGAAGGAGACCTGCTCACCTTTTATTCCAGAGCAGTCAAACATCGCAGGGATAGAGACCCCAGCTCTTTGCTTCACCCTGCAGGTGCACAGGCAGAAGCAACAAAGCACCTTGAAGCGTTCTCGACTCCAGTTTGCCCAACAGCACAGCTCAGGTGCCTCTGAAACCGCTGCAGCAGCCATCTGCACCAGTGACCCTGCCGTAAGAGAAGGCTGACCTCATGGGTAGGGTGTTGGCCAAGAGCTTTGCAAGCCAGGATTAATGAAGATCGGATGAAAACAAGCTGTCTGCAGAGCGCACAGCTGAACGCAAAGGAGGGTAACCTACTAATTTCGTTAGGTCAGACCACGGGGTAAGGGTCTGAGTGCAGGCACAGCAGCAACACGAACACCTCCAGCAGCACGGGGGGCACACCACCCCACCAGCAATCAATCGACACTTCAGAGAAGGACAGCCAAGTAAGGAAGCTGTCCTTAAGATGACATCCCCTCTGTCAGCCTTGCCTGTTGGTACTTGGCTGGACTCTCACACTGCCCCACAGCAACTCTACTCGTTGTTCATCAGCCACTCCAGAACACGCCGTTTACTCCTGGCCAAGAAAAGGGAAAAACTAGTTCCACGCTTGAGGTGAGAAACCATGTAATCCCCTCGCAGTTCAAAGTCGCAGAGACAGTGCAGCAAGAGGAGAAAGCCACTGCGCCTCCCTATCGAGCCAAATCTTCCGCACTTTACAAACGCTGCTGTTTAGTGGGAACTGGCAGATGAAACTATGTGAAACAAATAAGGCGAGTGACTGGGCTAATACAATATTTCGTGTGAGCTACTTGCTCTCTGCAGAGCACCAAGTGCCCACCATCTAGAACGTTACACTTGCTCCAAAGAGGCAAGGAAGAAAGGCAACTTTGTTAAAAAACCCCCTTATTCTCATAAAAACATATCATATAAAAATCCGTGAGCAAGACCTTTTGTCCAACTTAGGATCTATTTAAACACAACCTAGTGTCAAGCAAATCCCCCGCTCCAGGGAAGCCATCACAAAGTTTTGTGACTTTTAAACGCAATGGAGATGCCATTTAAACCCCAAACGTTGTGCCAGCACAGAGTTGCACCATTTGTTTCAGACGGCGATTAACATCAGTCCAGCTCCTGCTGCGAATGGGTGCTCCAGCAATGCTGCTCGCAACGGCGTGCTTCATGCTTCAACTATATGAACCCTGCTTTCCTGTCTTCAAAATTAAGAAAACGGGACAGCGCAGCTCTATTTAAAAGCTCAATTAAATGGAAAAAAATGGAGACTATTTCAGAGCCTGCTGGTGAACGAGGTGGAGCAGCGCCCTGACAATTCATTTCTGCTGCTGAAGCTGAAAAGGAATTAGTGTGTTTTCTTGTACTCAGCTGCTTGCTTCTGTCTTGCAGGGCTTAGCTGCTGTCAGACTTGCGGTATGGTTTTGAGAGCTTTGGAGAATCGTCCTCCCTCCACTAGACTGGAAATGAAGAACTAACTGTAGAAGACGTTTTTTGGACTTTGAGTATACAGATCGCAATGAAGTTGTGAAACGCTGTACTGTGGTTTTTAATGAGCTGTGACCAGGGAAGGGAAGACTTTCCCCATCGCTCCCAGCTGAAGTACAGCAACTAGCAGAGACAAGGGAGAGACAGATGCTGCATCCTTTGAAAAGGCTTGAACATGAGTTTCCCTGTGTCCCTGACCAATGTGCTCTTGGGATTGGAAAGACAAAGAGACTTTCCACATGCCAACTACAGAGTGCTTTTGTGGCCATAGTATAGGCACAATGCTAAAGCATTCATGGAAGAAGAAACTGAGGCATGAGATGTTCTGTCCCTTAGCTTGAAGGCACCATGATCTGACAACGATCAGCACCCTGGTAGACACTTCTGTCCTCCAGCACTTGCAGAACTTCACTTACCTGCTGGAATATTGCTGAAAAAGTGACATTTAGATCAAAGCATCCCACTTGCAAATTTAATTAAGTAACATTAAACAGCATACACCGTTTTTTTTTAAAAACAAAACAACAAAACCAAACCTGCAAACTTGCACTCATACCAGTCTACAAAAAGACCCAAACCACCCAACAGCATGTGGCCAGCAGGTGCCAGGTGCACCCCTCTGCCTTCGTTGTCCTGCACCCCCTTGAGCCCCCTTTGCAGCTGGTGTTGGCAGGTACACGAGTGACGCTGAACCCCCAGCTACACTACTGTGCTACGTGGTTTTGGGGAATGTCACGCAGCCCCTCTCTGCCTCAGTTCATACTTCTGCAAACAGGGCAAAGTGTTCAATAAATATCCCTTTCTCAGAGAAAGTCCTTGCTGGCTGAGATCTGAAAAGCACTTTGAAGCACTTGGAGTGCAACAATGACATTTTCCATTGAAGCAGTCTGGGCAGGAGCCCGTCCCAGCTAGAAGAGTGTCAGGAGTACATCTACGACCACCTTGGGAATATCTCTGTGACCACCTCTTTTCCCACCTATTTCCTTGGCAGTGCAAGGCATAATTTTGCCAGGGAAGAGCAGCTGGGAGAGCTGAGCTCCACGCCCCTGGGAAACCACGACTGCAAGGCTGAATCCTTCCCCAGGCAAAGGGAACAGCAGCCCTCTGCCTTGGAGGAGACAGACGTTCGCCCCGGAGAGCGCTCAGGGGAATCTGTGCTCAGAAACATTGATTAACTTACACCTGACTCATTTTGCCAATTAAGTCGCTACACATGACAGAGCAGTCTAAGTAGCACGTACGCTGACAGCCTCATACTCCACGCTGGCGTGGACACTCATCTCCGCCCTCCTTGCACACTGGAAGAAGGGATCTTGTACTACTGCAGTACAGGCTGCAGTAAGAGATTCAGGAGATGCAAGGTGGGAAGGGCCCCATAGAAGCACTCCTCCTGCTAGGTTTTACCTGAGGAATATAAAACGGTCTGATACACATTGTAAAACTGAGGCTTTTTCCCCAAACCATGCTCAAAATCTTATTTTGTATTAAGCTATCAACTTCAGCAGCACGTTCAGAGAGAGAGAGAGAGACCTCTCAGAATAATATCAAAACCTTTGGGTTTTGTTTAATAAGGAAATTGCAGCAAACTCCAGTTTTTTTCTTCAAAGCAGCAGTAAATAAAGGTTAAAAAAAGAAAAGAGAGAAAGAAAAGAGAGAAGAAGGAAAGAGAAAGTCCAGAAGTAATACAGCTGCAGAAATACAGACCTGAGGTAAACAAGCTGCTCTGCAGGGGAGTTGCTGGATGAAAATGCTGATAGTGATTTTTTACAGAACACTTTGTAATGTGCCTTTTTTACGTTCTTTATATATTAAATTGATTAATCCCAAGATAAAGCACCTCCTGCCCTGCTGTATCTCACGTGCTCCTGTTGTTAGCTCTTCCAGTTCCAGGGGGTAATATTTCCCCGTTTTGCACAGCCTGACAAATACCGCATCAGTAAACCAGACATCATCACCTTTTCCCCCGGCAGAATTCAAGGCCAGGATGGGAAGAAGAAAACCACAAACTACCAGCTTGTCCCAGAATATTTTGTTTAAAATGTTGGTTGACATAAAAGAAGGACTATCTATTTATCAGTCTCTGCTTTCATGAGAAATACAAAAAGACCAGAGGGTTATGATTCCGTTGGGCAGAAATTGATGCTGGCTGGTACAAAGCTTGTCTTGCGTAACAATGAAGACAGCTCCAAATGCACACATAAAATGTTAGCAACCTGGCTGCCTAACTTTAAAAGCAAGAGATACGTTCCTTATGCATCACTGAAATCTTTGGAAGAATTGCATTTACTCGTATAAGTTTAAGACCAGGGCGGGGGGTATGGGAAATGGGGAGGAAAAAAGTAAAATACTGATGGGAAAAAAAAAAATAAAATAGCTCCGTGCAGCTCACCTTGACCTCGATGAAGTCTGGTTTACCGAGGGATATCAGGTCAGCATACGCTTTGAGTTCATCCACATTCCAAGCCTTCACCAGTGTCAGCCTATAAACAGTGCGCTGTTGCTGAAATAAAGGAAAAACTACATTAGCAACACATTCTGACACAGGGAGGATGTTCCAGCCTTCCACACAGCTTCAAACAGAAAAAAAAATAAAAATCATTAGTTTATTCCAAGAACCCAGGGGCTGAAACTAACCAGACCCAAACCAGGAGCCACCTCACTTGTGGCTCAAGAAAGCTACTTGCAGCATCTGTGAGCTGAGCCACCTTTCACTGTACAAAGGCTTATCTTCCCTCTATATATCCCAGGCACTTTGTTTTTACAGGAGCTTTAACTTAATGGGAAAATAACCAGGAAGTTTCTCTCTGATTTGCTTCCCCAGCATAAAAATCTCACCATCAGTTGCTACACAGGTATTTTATTTCCTCCAGCTGGATCATCTGGCATTGGTGGCTTTTGGACAGGACGAACAAGAATAGACAGACCATTGTCTGCCCCTGTCTGTGAACTCTTCCAGCACATTAGGTACAATACCACAGACAAAAGGCTCTCCCGTGATCAGTTATGCAGAACATTTTATTGGAAGCACAAAGTGACAATTAAAATCACAACCGGGAAACACTGAAAATACCCTGCTTATGACCTAGCCTCATCAAAAGCGTGGTGCAAACCATTAGGAAAAACACAGTAGTCGTTAGCGCTGCAGCTACAAGAGCAGCATCCACCCCTCATTGCCCTCTGCAGCAGGGCAGCTGGATTTCTGCCTGGCAGCACCCCTGCACAGACCTGTCCTCTCCATCCCGCTGCTGAGCGCCGCAGCTCCTCATCACACCAGTGCCTCTCAAGATGCCCAGACCTGACTTACTTCTGTGCACAGTGGCAGACAGCACTCTGAGAACTTCTTTCCTTGGAGTTATTCTGATTTTCCCTCTAAGGGCTGCTCACCAAAGAAGTTACTGGCGACAAAAGGACTTCTACTATCAATATAAGCACTGGGCCATGGAACAAATCCAGTCTCACCGCCTACATCTGCTTGTTTCCATCTTTCCTCTCTCCTTCCCTTCGTCTTCCACTAATGTTTTATTTCACTTATCTCTGGAATTTATTTATAGAGCAATCTTCCAGCAAAATGGTTTTTTGAATCAACTCATTTTCCTTCCTTGGCACACTGTAGACTGTAAAACGTGACAAAAGCACCAGTTTAGCTAGAACAAAAGAGCACCGTAACAAATACACAGCAACCCAAGACTCCACAGCTGGGGCCAGGCTGTATCCCAGGGCTGGGACTTCATGGCGCAGCAAGGGCTGGAATCAAGTTCTCCGGCTCCAGAAAGTCCAGGCTTAGACTCAGATTGAGTTAAGATATTCTCCCTCACCTATTACCCATGACATGCCCGTGGCGCAAGGTGACCTGAACTTCAGTGCCGTGCGTGGGAAGCATGCACACTGTTCCGTTTATTATATTTTTCAACCCAGAAGGATAAGCTAATAAGGAGATCTGCTACTGAACAGAACTTCCCATCACTAAACCTCAGACCGTTTCCCACTGCGATAACCTCTGACAGCACCCACTGGCCAGGGGCAAGGCAGGGATGGATCCCAGGACCCTGAGTTCCAGTCCAAGGCTATTAAAAAGTTCATGCTGTTACCCCTCCCCAGATAAAACCGGTAATTCCCAGTACCAATCCCCAATCTAGCCACATTTTACTTCTTCAGAGCCTCTGACCTACATGCCACATAAGTGACTTTTGCCCTCTGTATAAAAATCAAAACATCACTTACCTAAAACACATTTCTACGTTTTCCACAGTGAAAAAAATTTCGTCTCTACACCAGTTTGCTATGGAAATATTCCAGATTGTTTGCTAACAAATAACTAGAGGACAAACAAATAAAAAACAGGCGCATCATCTTCTTCCCGCTAACATCTGAACAGAGCAAGGGGCAGGTCTTTAGGGTACATACGTACAGAGATCTAAACCCAATGCAGGCCGAAGTGTCCCCATGCACTCACTGCCTGTTGCCCGTCATCTTGGGAACCCAAAGCACCAGGTAAACCTGCAAAATTCTCTGGAGGATAAACACGAGCAAGGATTCGATCCCTACAAGGAGTCAGTGTTTTGAGAAAATAAATTAGAGGTGGAGCTTCTTTTAAAAAAGTCTGTGGAGGGTAACTTTAAAAAGAATTATTGAGAGAATGATTACTGAAGGCCAAATATTACAGGAATTAAAATATCTGGCCTCTGCTTTACATGTAGCTTACAAGCACATCCTTAAGAACAAGATACTGCAGCTCTTATGATTTGAATGAATTGGCAAAAGAAAGGTTCAGGCCAAGACACAACAGGCAAGTATGCAATCAACAGTTAATTATTAAAGAGAAAAACAATGGAGGAACTAATACAAAAAATAAACGCATCATTTGCCATGTAACAGGGAAAGAAGAAGCCAGAAGGAAAATACCTAACAAGAGGAAAAACTCTGATACGCGCACGCCTGTCAGTCGTCTGACGTGATTAGACACCCAATTAATCAAGAAATGTCTCCCCAAAGGTCAGCTCACAGTGGTAAACAAAGGCAGGCAGCTTCAAGGCAACAGTAAATAAAATCACGTTTTTAACACCAGCCCCTACCAAAGGCTGCTGATCCAGACCCCGTTCTCAGACTGGGAGGTCGGGTGCCCAGTGCAATCATCGGAGCGGGGAGTCCACCATGAAGTGAAGCCTTTAGGGGTGTCTTTTTCTGGAAGGATGGTTTTGGGCTAAAATTAAGAGCAGATTTCTGGACGTCTCTGTCATGCATAGAAAACAGCTTGGCAATGAGCACACAGGGAGTGGGACAGCGCATCCTGTTAAACCCAGCACAAGCAGCGTCGCCACTGCTGGCTGAATACTCTGCAGCAGCGGAGGATATAAAAAAGGAAAAAAAAGAACCTTCACAGGGAGAAATAAAACCCAGGAAATCCATTTGTGGGATGAAAGTCTTAGAAAACCCACTTGATCTTCAGACAGCAGATACTTGCTATTTGGGGAACTTGAACACGACATACAGATAATGGGAGACTGGACCAGGCAGACACTGGTCCCAAGTGCTGGAATTAAGGGTAGTGAATGGTATCAATAGATGTATGGAAAGCTCCTACAGACTAATGAAAAATATTTATACCTAGCCCAAGCGTGAAGTGGCTCGACTAGAGCTTTGCACGTCACCTCTGCTGAGCAGCGAGGGCAAGATCTTTAGGTAACTGAAGCGCTGGCAGTTCAGGAGGGCATCTGCTACCGCGGAGGACGCACGTGTGACAAGTGTCATTTACAGTACTGCCACATTGCTTGGAGCAAGCTTAGAAAACGCCACCAAGCGTTCTCCCAACGTTCAGTTCCTTTACAAGATCTCCAAAAGGACAAAAAACATTTTCTAAAGGCTGGAAAGGACCACTCGCAGCAATTAAAAAAAAAAAAAAAAAATAGCATCTTGGCAGCAAAAATTGAAGTCAACTGATTGGAGGGAGATGACTCTGGGATTGCCACGCTGTGACTTCAGAGGACCACTCTATTTTTTCTGGGGGGGTCACACTGGTTCACCCCTCCATCGCTGCTGGCAGAAGAATGTGCCAAACACATCTGCCCCCCGTAGGAGACCACACTGGAGGGGACTGCCTGCAGCTCACGTTTCTTGCCAAAACATAGTGGAAGCAATATATTTTTAAAAACTCCAAGTCTATTCTATTAAAAATGGATGAAATCAAATTGCAAAAGATTAACATACACGATTATTAAAGAAGAAATAAATACACACTTGGTTCTTAATTGCCAATCCTCAGCCCTGCACTTACGGCCATCGCCGGGACTTTCCTCCCTGGGACAGCTCTCCAGCAGGCAGCACGGAGGAAGGTTTCTTGCTTGCTCTTACACGTGTGGCTCAATCCTCTTGCGGACACAGAAGACGGGTCCCCTGGGGTTCATAAACATAGGACTGACCCTACGGAGCCCTACCTCCTCCTGGGATCACAGGCACAGCCTCCAGCACTTACCGACTTTTTATACGCTCCTGGGTGTTTCCCAAATCATCCCTGCAACTGCCAGAGCAGATGGGGAAGGTTCAGGGAAGGCCACAAATTACGGACAGCAACTGGAGGAGCTGCCCTGCTTCCCAGTGGCTGCCACCAACACAAAGGGAGGTTGCGACGTGAAAGCTGGTGGTGGCTGTGATGTGGAAAGGTGGCACACAGCCACCAACAGCTGCTGCTGGCTCGGGGCAGGGGGACATGCACACAGACATGACCAAAACCCAACTGGACCAGCAAAAATTCTGCAAAGATGCAAACGTTTGCAAAAAATGTAATTTTGGCAGAGGACATCCATGTGCAATGACCACCATCAAGCAGTCTGCCAGCCCTCCTTCCCACTTCCTCTGGTGTTTGAAGTCCAGTCACTTGTCACCTTGCAAGCCAGGGTGAGCGGGGACACCCTCTGCCCTGCACCTCTGTGCCTGCAAGCGCTGGGACCATCTCACTTCTTCCCTCTCTAATCTGTTTAGATTTGGTTTTTTAGGGGCTAATCCCTAATCACTCTCCGTGCTTTGTTCTTGTAACTCTAACAGTTTGTTCTCTCTCCCACTTTGGAACTGGGCTGAGGCATGCACGCCTTTTTCCTGCGAAAAAAGTATTTATTTTACACTCATTCTGCAGAGGGACTAAACATAAAATGCCACCAAAAAATGGTTCGAAGCTCAGGCTGAACGCACGAGGAGTGCTGGCAGAGCTGAGTAAATGCAATAGTGCAAGAACAGTTTGGCGGAGAGGATGAAACCTTATCAGTTTACTTTTATCACAACATTTTCTAACGTACACTAAGTACAACGCTTCAGCGAGCGTTTCTTCTTACAGCAATGAACGCCTGCATGAAGGGAGGGGTTTTCTCCTGTTTAAATCTCATTTTTGATACTCTCCAATAGACTTCTAAAATTATCTAGGATGTATAGCTTTAAAGTTCAAGTACTACATAAAACTAAAATGGCTACAAGCACATTAAAAGAGCTTTTCCCCCCATAGGCAGCACTAAC